GGATTTAACTTTTTCAGAATATTTGTTTTCTTCTTTTACCAATTTCTGCTATCCATCAAACTGAAAGGCCAAAGTAGTGACAATTATTAGAACTCGTCTGACATAATAAAACTTTATAAGGAGAAAGTCTATAAGGAGTAAATGTATCACATGAATTACCTCTCTTAGCATAAAAATCATGAGCAAAGGAGCATACTCAATTAATTGATGATGATGTTAGTAGGAAACCAGATGAACCAAAATCTTTCTGGATAGTTAAGGAACGAAAAGCATAATTATCCAAGGTGAATATGCAAAAGATACAAAATACAATATCCTCTACGATAGTAAATAAAACAACCAGAAGGCAAGAATCAAGACGATGATGAAGAGTTGAGAAAGGAGTTCCGGCCATCTCAACAACGTAGCACTAGAATAGTTTCTTTCTTTGACCATGGTTCGAATACAATTTCCGATTTAGGAGATGCCCGAGGGAACCGCAACAACTCCTTTGAGATCTTCAAGGATTGGCTTTCATTAATACTTGAATCTACCAAAAGGATGGCCTTACGGAGTAAAGGGGCAAAGCCAAGTATGAACCTTACAAAGCGCAATTCAGTTCTTGAACCATAGAATCTGCTTATACGCAATGTTTGAAGATTATTGAGTCCTGGTTCCGCGCAGTCTGGTTCTTCAAAATAATTTACATCAACTTCCATATCACCTATGTTCCCCTGGCTGGACTAAAAGTAGTTTAAAAGTGAAGTAATGTTTTCAGCTCTTTACTCATAAAATGATTAAAAACTCATGAATTTAGCTACTTACAAGAAATTGAAGTATCTTCAAATTGGGACAACTTCTAAGAATCCTTAGAAGGGCAAATATTTGATCTTCATCATCAAAATTATAATGAGCAAAATAGAGAGATCTCAAATTGGTGAGGCGCGTGGGAAGACTCTCTGCTCTAGTATCAGAAGCCAAAACCTAGACAGCAAAAAAACACAAAAGAATAAGGTTAAACAGTACATATATGTGCATTATTCTGAGCTGTGCAGATAAAATCAATTTTTGCAACTAACCTTGAGGAAGTATCTGCCCAAAATAAGATGACTAACATTATGCCAACAGCTGAGAAAATCGGTCAAATTCATCGCTTTATCTTGTCTGTTTTGTGATACTTCTTCTTGGGATGTAAATCCAAGTGTTCTCAGCATCCCACATTCCATGAAAGAACTCAATTTAAGGGTACCACAGCTATGCAAAAATAATATTGAAAGTTCTGGGGCATGTATATTGAAGAAATGAAGACCACTGCAATACACAAAACACAGAATCTTAAGGTTTGGCATCCAAAGGGAAGAATGTGCAACGTCTAATTCAAAGGCAACTCGCATAAGGTGAATCCATTTGAGCATGTGGAAACCCCTAAAACTGCATGGCGGCCTGAAAATGCAGTTCAACAGGCCCAAACGTTCTAGTCCCACACCATACACATATGAAGGCAATTTATAAGGAGCATTGACATTGTTTTGATTCTGAAGAGTGAGATTCACGAGACCATTCCTTGACAAAAATAGCATCCATCGATCGACAACTGAGTGCTGAGAAGAAGGTATTATCGATATATCCAGGAAGAAGGTCTTAATGGCTCCATGGTGTTGGAACAGAATTGTACTAATGATTTCTATTGTGTCTGATGGTGTTCTCTTTGTGCAAAACCGTGCACCAAACACGAGTTTCGGGTTTGAAGCCCAAACATATCTCCATGCTCTAGACAAAACACTCATTTTTGAGGCATCCTCAATGGACATATGATCCTGAATCTGGTGTATAACATTAATAGGAAGATCCGTAAGCCTATCGAGTTTGTCCCCTCCAACTGCAAGTCTCTTACAGCTATCTGTCATCGCCATTCTGACTTCTGGTCATTTGAACAAAACAGAGGGAACTTAAACATAAATGAGAACATGTTTCAACATGCTGCATACATTAATCCAACGTAGCTCTACATTATAGTCAAGAAAGTAATGTCATACTTTAAGATGCTTGACATCAATCGAAACTCAGGTCAACTCATGTCTATCACAATAAAATCATGGGGAATGAATATATGTTAGAACAAAGCTCTTGCTATGCAGATAGATAGCATAAGTTGGTCGTCATCCAAACATTTATCAATATTATACACAGTGGCGTAGACACATACAATAAATGGTGGTCAGTTGAACATCGAAAAATTATACTGAGTATATAAATCAAAAATTATTTTTTATACATGTATAGTAAATCTTGAATGCCCTTAGCGTAATTCCCGGCTTCGCCATGGATATATACAAACTATTCTACCACGTATGCCATGAAGAAGTTAAGCTTCAAAAAAGATCCAACAATTGCAACTAGGAGAACTTTGGACCATATACAACTTTAAAACATCTTTATCAATGTTATTGAACTATGACAATCCCATTAAAATTAAAAATATTGAATGTAGTATACATATATTTATAGTTTATATAGCTTGTTAGTAAGCAATTCTGGCAACATAACTTTAATTAGCTAGTACTAAAGAGTTTTTTTACACCTGAATATAAAGAATACTACTACTACTACTACAACAAACCGAGTGTAATCCCACGAGTGGGGGTCTGAGGAGGGTAGTGTATACGCACAGGGGCGAATGCAGCAAGCGAGTGCTTTGAACCCAGTACTTTTGATGCGGATCATAAATTTATTTGTAAAAATCTATCACAATTACAAAAAATAGTAGATATGAAACCATAACTTTAAATATACTATGAGTTCAATGCTAAAAACATTAAAGGTTGAACCCATAGTATTTAAATCTTAGATCCGCCTCGTACCATGAAAAGGTGGAGGGGTTGTTTCCGATAGAACATCGGCACAAGGAAGCCTGGATATAAAGAATGAGTATAGTATATATACCATCACAATTTCAGTTCATTGAAACGTATAATTAACTTGTAAAAGTACATATAATACAACAACAACAAGTAGTCCACTAAATTTCCATTAGTGAGGTCTGAGGAGAGTAAAATATACGCAGCCTTACCCCTGTCCTGGAAGAGTAGAGAGATTGTTTCCGGTGGTAAAAGTATATATCCAGTTACAATAATCACAATTTACCTTAAGAAAGGAAGGGGTTTGGGGCTAATTATCAAAAGAGATTTTTTTTCTTTTTTCTTTTTTAAAATAAAAAAGAATGAAGAAGGAAAACATACAATTTGATACCTTTAAAGAGGGATGTCAATATGAATATTTGAGGAATTCGCTGCAGATTGATTTTTGAGAATGTTCGATGTTTGGGGTTTTGTACCAGAGGAAAGTCGACGAGTAAAAAAGGTTTTATAGATCAGATATGAAAACCAACGACCAGTTTCCCATTTTGATTGGGAATTGGATTTGGATTTCCTGACATGCGCGGGAGCTTTTTTTATTTTTTATTTTTTTTATTTGTGTTAACTCTGTTCTAACTTTTAAGATAACTTAAAAATCAACCGCAATTATTCGATCATAATTGAGTGAGATTAATAACTTAAAAATAAGGTAGGTTAATTATTTGATATAACACATTAAAAATGGGAAATTACCAGCTATGTCTATTTATAAGTAGCTCATTACAAAAATTGGCCAATTGATAAAATATTACTAATATTAGCCAATTAACTACTATTTGTAGCAAAAAAAAAAAATCAAATTTTTGCTTTGTTTTGAGTGGGTGTTATTAGAATAGATTGGGCACAACTTAAGGAGCTTGAATCTCAATTTTTGGATGATTTGGTGAAGTTTTGAGGTGGTTTGAATTGAAAATTCGAAGTAAAAGCTGAACAAATGATATGTGTATCACACTGTGTATCATTTGTGTATCACATATGTATCATATTTGTATCAATTGTGTATCACATGTATATTCATGTATACCTGTGTGTGAGATACATGCGTGATACATGTTTGATACATATGTCGCAGAAGACTTTTTTGAACTCGATTTAATTACGAATTTTGATACAAAACCAGTCCAAATCACCTCCAATCTTCCTCAAATTTTGTATATAGACTTATCTATATATTTTCAATGAATTTCAACTATACCCACTGAAAAAGTTCCTTTTTTGTTTAGATTTTTGGAATATTGTATAGATTTTTGTATTTCATCACTTTATTTGCTACCTCGTCCATGAAATTTCCTTTCCGTCTTGTACTAATGTTGCTAATCACGCTTAAAATATGGAAGGTGATTTTTTCATGTGATTCTTTGATAGAAAGAACCCTATTATTTGGTTTTTCAATTTTTGTTGGCTAGTTTTGGTAAGTTTATGACTAATGGTTAAAGGTTGGTAAGTTGAGATTTATTTGGGACATTTATGTAAGTTTCCCATTAAAAACGCTTATTATGTAGTAATATTTTTTGATATTGTCCATAAGTTAATTTTTTCACTTCCAAGGGATTCCTAATCCTTTACTTGTCGAGTTTTTGTTTTATGAAAATTGGGGTTGTGTCACTTCAAACTTCTAGGGAATTTTTTGAAATTATATTGATTATTATGACGGTAAATACTTGACTGACAAGTTTGAGTTCTTTCTATTTTGTACTCTTTAATATATGTATCATTTTTCTGTTTGCATTACTCCTTTCATTTTTTTAAAAAAAATTGCAGCCTGACTTTTTTTTAACCCCTCTACTGATTAGCATTATACAAAGATGTGCAGATAGCAGAATGCTATGTCAACCCTGATTGGTCTGTTCACTGATAGCTAGAGAACCACACAATAGATGTAAATCGCACTAGGCAATGCCGGTACGACGAGCTCTGACTTAAGAGGCTGCTGGTGAGGGAATTAGGGAAATCGATCCCAGGTCTCTCATATGGGAAACCACTCACCCAACCAACTCAGTCAACTCCTGTGGGCAATATAACTCTAATAAGTTAGCACTAAAGAGATATTTTTCACCTGAATCTAAAGAATTGTATACACTCACAATTTCGATCCATTAGTTCAAGTAACAAAATAAAGGATCCTGTACACTAGTCATTCAAACATATAGAACAGAAGGCAAGATGACGATGAAGAGCAAGAAAGGGGTTCCAGCCAGGGACGGAGCTAGAACACTATTACAGGTTCGACCGAATTCACTAGCTTTTGTCCCAAACCATGTATTTGTTTTAAGAAACTCATCGAATATGTACAACTTATTAATTTAGAATCCAATAACTTAAACAGACCAGATTCCTGAACCCATAAACTTCAAATCTTGGTTCCACCTCTGATTCCGGCCATCTCAACAACATGGCATTGAAGACCTGCCTTGTTCTTTTGAGCACGGTCGGAATACAATTTTCGATCTAGGAGATGCCCGAGGGAACTGCATCAACTCCTCTGAGATCTTCAAGTATTGTCTTTCATTAACATTTGTATCTACCAAAAGGATAGCTTTCCGGAGTAAAGGAGTAGAGCCAAGAATGAACCTTACAAACCGCACTTCAATTCTTGAACCATGGAAATTTTTTATTAGCAACATTTGAAGGTTATTGAGTCGTCCTTGTGCCCTATCGTCTTGTTCTTCAATAAGATTTACATCCATTTCCATGTCGCATTTATTCCTCTGGCCCGACTAAAAAGCAGTTTAAAAGTAAAATCAGTAACGTTTGCAGCTCTTTACTCGAAAAGTGCCTTACAACTCATGAATTCAGCTACTTACCAGAATTTGAAGTATTTCTAAATTGGGAGAACTTCTAAGAATGCTTAGAAGCGGAGATATTTGATCTTCACGGTCAAAATCACAATCAGATAAATAGAGACATCGCAATCTGGTGAGGCGCGTGGGAAGACTCTCTGCTCCAGTACCAGAAGCAAAAAACTAGACAACAAACAATCACAAAAGAATTAGGTTAAACATTAAAAATATTTGCAAACATATCCTTTTTTTCGCAACTTAATTACCTTGAGGAAGTATCTGCCCAAAATAAGATGACTAAGGTTTGGCCAGCTGCTGAGAAGATTTGTCAATTTCATTGTTTTATCTTGTCTGTTTAATGAAACTTCGTCGTGTGATTCAATTGCAACTATCTTCAGCTTCGTGCATTCCATAAAAGGACTCAATTTTAGGGTGTCATTGCCACAACCATAGAAACATAAACAAAAAAGGTTTGGGGCATATATATTCAAGAAACCAAAACCACTACATTGCGTAAAACGCAATCTCTCAAGGTTTGGCATCCACAGGGAAGAAGTTGCAGCGACTAATTCAAAAGCAACTCGCTTTAGTAAAAGTGTTTTGAGTTTGTGGAAACCCCTGAAACTGCAAGCCGGCCTGAAAATGCAGTTCGACAGGACCAAACGTTCTAGTCCTACACTGTACAGATAGGAAGGCAATTCATAAGGTGCATTGACATTGTTTTGATTCCGAAGAGTGAGATCCACGAGACCGTTTGTTGACAAAAATAGCATCCATTGATCGATAACTGAGTGCTGAGAAGAATGTATAACTGAAATATCTACGAGGAATATCTTAATGGCTCCATGATGCTGCAACAGAATTGTACTAATGATGTCTATTGTGTTTGACGCCATTCTCTTTGTGCAAAACGGTGTATCAAATACGAGCTTCGGGTTTGAAGCCCAAGCATATTTCCACGTACTAGACAAAATACTCATTTTTGCAGCATCTTCGATAGACATGTGATCCTGGATCTGGTGCATGACATTAATAGGAAGATCCGATAGTCTATCGATTTTGTCCCTTCCAACTGCAAGTCTGTTGCAGCTATCTGTCATTGTGATTACAAATTCTGGCAATTTGAACAAAATATGTAAGCACTTAAATATATCTGAGAACATATTAACAACATGCTGTATATCTAAATCAACGATTAATTGTACTCAAGAAAGTAATTTCATACTTTAAAATGCTTTGAAGCCAATCCAGACCATGTCAAAGTAGCTGTTAGACCAATTCTCATTTTACCTTTTGTTGGAACCACAAACTTTTTTCACTAGACTCATCCAAATATATAATCTAATCTACCAATTATCAATTATGCCATTAAGATGTTACACATATTAAGTTTGAGAAACAATAGATCCAAGCTATGTAGCTCCGACGAGACTGTTTGAAAATGCGATGGGTGCGTGTCAGATACTCCAAAAGTAGTGCATTCTTGGAGGATCCGATACGGGTGTCGCAACTGTTTTGGAGAGTCCACACATCATAGGATCCAAGTACTGCAGCTAGAATTTTGTACTACACAAAATGTTAAAGGAAAGGGTAATGTATAACTCACCCCAAAAGCTAGTTCATGAGGTGAGGATTGACCATATAAGGAAACCATCCTATTCCTAAATATGGTGATGTGGGACTCAACACATAGCACGTTGACATCTAGAGCGTAGACAATATATGATAGGTGTCCAACATTGGATAAACAATGAATTGGAATGAGCCTGACTCCGATAGTATGATAAAAAAAATTAGATCCCGGGCCTAACTCAATTTTTTTTTGTTGCTAAATCAGAGAACATTTATTAAAACAGGAAACTAAGTAGAGTTATTACAACATGAAACTGATCTTAACGATTCAGTCCCTAAATAGTAAATGCGAAATATTAAGGAAGCAAATAAAGATGGTTGGTCCCAAAATAGGTGAAAGATTGTCCAAAACCATGTAAAAAACATCTTTTCCTAAAGAGCCGATGTGGGACTCAACAAAAATTACATAATACAATCAAATAAACGTAATTTACCATTAGAAAGAGAAAGTTTTGGGCTAATTATCAAAAGAGAGATAGAGAGAGAGAGAGATTTTAAAAAAAAAGGAAAACGTACAATTTGATACCTTTAAAGAGGGGATGTAAATATGAATATTTGAGGAATTTGCTGCATAATGATTCTGGAGAATCGTTTGACGTTCGCTGAAACTCCAAAATTAAAGCTGAGTACTTCCATAAGTTCTGTTAACAAGCCAAAATCAACTTAATTAAAAGCTAGAATTTGAGTTTGACCAATTGTCTCTTACATACTTCTAAATTAATTCCCAATAGTATATACTTCAAAAAGATCCTAAACAGTATTCCCTTGTCCTTTTTGTCCTGGAAAATGCATGAATCATGCATGTGTGTCTTTAATTTTCTATTTTTTTTTGGTCCAGGTGTCATTAATTTTCTGTATTACATATATTTATACATTTCTCTTGTTTCGTAATGGCCGGTAGTTGTTTACTGTTAACTAGACATTATTTTAATTGGGGAATTCACTTAAATTGCTTAAATTCATATTATTGCTAATAAAACCGGCCATCGGTGCAAATCTTGGTTATAGTAGTAAATATTCAAATCAGAACTTTGAAGGTCGTTTTACGTGAATATCACTTATACATGAGTTAGTCGATCCTAAGGGTCAGAGAGGCGAAAGGTTTCATATTAAAACATTTATTATATATATATATATATATATATATATATTAAATTTAGAAGTCAATTATTAACACTTAAAATCGTTATTTTGAATTCAGAACTCATAAAATTGAAAAATCTAGAAAATCTGTCAAAACAAAATGTTTAATTTTAATTTGGTCAACTGCTAAGATTAGCTTTACACTTATAAAAGAATTGCAATTATTTTATATTCGATAGTCTAACATGATCCAATTTAAGGGTGTCAGTGTCACAATCATAAAGTCTTAAATATAAAAGTTTTGGGGCATTATTTATTTAAGACACAAGACCACTGCACCACATGAAATCTTATTATTTCCATTATTTTATTCAAGAATTAGAGTTTTCTACTTTAGACTCAAGATAACTTGGACAAAATCGGCAAAAATTCATATTAGTTCCATTTGGTCATCTTTGAATAAAGTATAGTAGCAGCGTTAGAAAAAAAAAATTAAAACCAAGCGTAGTTGTTAGGTGTTCTTTACAAAGTAGGTTTATGTATAAGTCTATAACGAATAATTACGAAAAATAATTGAACCAAACCTATATGTATAGAATAAATATTATTTTGTATAAGATTTAAACCCATAAGTATTTTGGACCTCGAAAAGTATCAACCGAGGAAGCTTCTCTCTACCGGTATTTTCTCCCTTTTAAATGAAGGAATTCGAGGAAAGTAGAATGTTTACAACTTCGAACTTGCAATAAGTTCAATAATAGTGTTTGATTTTGATGACAAAAATAGCACGGGCTACCCAGTTTTCGGACTGATTACTCAAAAAGCTAGCATTTGCAAAATCATTGAAAAATAGTCATTATTTTACTGCAACACGGAAAGTTCCAGCATAATATACTGGAGATCGGTGCACCAGTGTATGAACTTCCAGTATATTATGCTGGAACTCCAACACGCGGAAAGTTTCAGTATATTATGCTGGACCGGTATAGTACCCTGGAACTCCCGTATATTATACTAGAGTATTTTTCCGGATTTTGAACAGTGTTTTCGTTCAAATTTATCTTTACATGAAAAGTGATTAAATTTCAATTACTTTTAAAACTGTGACTATTTTTGAATTACCACTTGTAAATCTGGCTATTTTTGAATTTCTCCCTAATTTATACATAAGAACTAAGAACATATTACTAATTTGGTTTAACTGGTTCTTGGTCATATTATTATAACTTTCAGATTTTCAGTTTGTCATTATATATATTTTCAATTGTATGAAAAAAAAAAACTCTAATGAAACGATGAAAATGAAGTTAATTGGCATGGTTAACATCTATCGCACAATTAATCAAAGGGATAATATATTAATTAGCTAAA